TATGTAATTTAGATTTCATAGCAGGACACAAATTTTCTTTCCATGTGTGTGATGTAGCCAACCTACACCCTATCTGATTCATAATCTTTCCCCTTATAGTGTCCATCATGCTTGTGATCGGTAAATTTCATACCTTAAAATAAGTATTAAATGACTCCACTACATTAAAGGTCATCTCATCGTAACATTTACCTTTAAAGTGGGTATTTGCCAATTTTCATATAGAATATTATCCAAGAATCTGTCCATGTTGGGTCCACCTTCACGTCTTAAAGCTTCAATATTCTCGTTAAATATTGAAATTGTTGGAGCATATGCACACTCACAAAACAAAATTACTATAGATAATTTCGCAGGACATTTGAAAATCACGACCCGCTAAACTTGTCCCTCAAGTTTGCCTTCAAATGCTACAAACAAAAAACATGGTGGCAACTCGGAAAAACCTTGAGCATAGCTTCCAACATCCTAGCATTGCGGTCAGACACAAATGGAAGCTCTCACTCGAGATCCAAAACCACCAACAATTGTTGTAAGAACCAATGTCAATTAGTCTCATTCTCTGAATCGACCACCACATATGCTAAAGGGAATAAAACTACCAAGTAGAGTGACAACATACAAATTCAACAAAAAAAAAAAAAGCAAAGACATTATACAGTTTCAATTACAAAAAAGAAAGACAATAAACAGTTACAGTTTGAAAATACAAAAAAACTTATATCTTGATTTCCATCTTTTCCGATGGCTGAAAGAATATTTCATTTGTACTTTCCTTTAAGAAAGGTTCCATCAATAAAAAAAATAGGCCGACAGTAGTTGAACCCATCAATGCATGCCTTGAAGGATACAAATAACCTATAGAAACAGTTAGACATTTGATCACAATCAAGCACTATGTGGCTATCGGCATTTGTATTATTCGCCGCATCGATGTACCAACGTAACTGATCATAAGACAAAGAATAATCCCCAAAAAATATTCATTTTTCTTTTTCCACACCTAACCATGCTTGGTCATATGATATTTTAAGGTTACGATGAACGAAAATCGCTAACCACATCAGTTGGACAAATGTTTGTGTTTTCACGAATATTGTCAACAATTAGATCTGCTATCAAATTGGAAGACGTCCTCTTGTTTTAGGTTGTGCGTAGAGCTACTTCACAAGTGTGTTGGTTTTGTAGTTTCCTTATATAAAAGAAACCATTCACCATTTGAAGAGTAGCAATGACATGTCACTCGCATCTTGCAAGGTATTTCAACACACATTCCGCAACAACCCTCATTTTGCAATTCTTTGCATAATTGAACTTAAACCCAACCTCAACTGCGTATTTTCATAGAGTAGTCCGAAAATGGATAACACCAGCTTCAAACTTTTGACTTTCACTTGATATCCTTTGCCCACCTAGATGTTGAAAGAACTTTCTCAGTATGGGAACAAAAACGAGGAAGTAAATCGGTCTCAGATTCAACTCTATCAACCACAACGCTTGAAGCATCATTATACACAAACACCCTCAATTCAATATGATTGATAATAATAAAACGTACTAATGCAAACATATTCTTCATGTCATCATCATTTCGTAGGGAACAATTCGGATGACCTAGAATCGAATATCATATATGCACAACCAAATTTCTCACCTCGTCTCATCCCTCACAAACTCTATGCAAAATGAAATCAAAACTTGATAAAACTGAACATCTCATAACTAACGTCTTAAGGCGATATTTGCATAATAACATGATCATTCCTTCCATGACCTTAAATATGTGTTTAACAGAAAATCAGAAACAGCTTCCCAAAACGAAAGAGTGACACCAAACAGTAAATCATATTCGAGAATACATGTTCCAAAATTAATGTAATTTCCAAAAATTTTATTTTCCATAATTCATTGATGACAAAAAAAAANTTCCATCTTTTCCGATGGCTGAAAGAATATTTCATTTGTACTTTCCTTTAAGAAAGGTTCCATCAATAAAAAAAATAGGCCGACAGTAGTTGAACCCATCAATGCATGCCTTGAAGGATACAAATAACCTATAGAAACAGTTAGACATTTGATCACAATCAAGCACTATGTGGCTATCGGCATTTGTATTATTCGCCGCATCGATGTACCAACGTAACTGATCATAAGACAAAGAATAATCCCCAAAAAATATTCATTTTTCTTTTTCCACACCTAACCATGCTTGGTCATATGATATTTTAAGGTTACGATGAACGAAAATCGCTAACCACATCAGTTGGACAAATGTTTGTGTTTTCACGAATATTGTCAACAATTAGATCTGCTATCAAATTGGAAGACGTCCTCTTGTTTTAGGTTGTGCGTAGAGCTACTTCACAAGTGTGTTGGTTTTGTAGTTTCCTTATATAAAAGAAACCATTCACCATTTGAAGAGTAGCAATGACATGTCACTCGCATCTTGCAAGGTATTTCAACACACATTCCGCAACAACCCTCATTTTGCAATTCTTTGCATAATTGAACTTAAACCCAACCTCAACTGCGTATTTTCATAGAGTAGTCCGAAAATGGATAACACCAGCTTCAAACTTTTGACTTTCACTTGATATCCTTTGCCCACCTAGATGTTGAAAGAACTTTCTCAGTATGGGAACAAAAACGAGGAAGTAAATCGGTCTCAGATTCAACTCTATCAACCACAACGCTTGAAGCATCATTATACACAAACACCCTCAATTCAATATGATTGATAATAATAAAACGTACTAATGCAAACATATTCTTCATGTCATCATCATTTCGTAGGGAACAATTCGGATGACCTAGAATCGAATATCATATATGCACAACCAAATTTCTCACCTCGTCTCATCCCTCACAAACTCTATGCAAAATGAAATCAAAACTTGATAAAACTGAACATCTCATAACTAACGTCTTAAGGCGATATTTGCATAATAACATGATCATTCCTTCCATGACCTTAAATATGTGTTTAACAGAAAATCAGAAACAGCTTCCCAAAACGAAAGAGTGACACCAAACAGTAAATCATATTCGAGAATACATGTTCCAAAATTAATGTAATTTCCAAAAATTTTATTTTCCATAATTCATTGATGACAAAAAAAAAACGAAAGAGTGATACCAAACAGTAAATCATATCATATTCCATAATTAATTAAAATCACAAAAAAATTCATATTTCATAATTCATCGTTGACTAGAAAAATAAAAACTCTTCATAAAAATAGTGAGGTAGAAGCTTAAAAAAACTAGTTCCTATCATGAAAACATTTTAGAATAGAATTTCATTTATCTTTTCGAAATGGAAAAAGAGATTAAACATTGAAAATATTATATTTCCAACAAAAATTCATGTTCCATGTTTCCGAAAAATTCCAACAAAAAAAATTAAAAAAAAATTAATATTCCAGAATTCCAAAAATTTCATGAAGATGTTGAACAACATAACGATGGAATATTGAATACTTACAAATTAATAGTGTCCCATTTGGTGAAGAAGATAAATGGGAGATAATGAGATATTCTTGAACCAATGAAGAAGAAATACAATGGGAGATTCTTGAACCGGGGAAGGAGAAATACAAAGGGAGAATATGATAATGAACTTAAGAATAAAAAATACTTTGGTAAAAGATGATAATGAAATATAAATTTTGTTTGAAATTTCAAAATTCAAGCGATACACAAATATCAAAGGAATCTTGAAAGTCTCAAATCTAATATTTAGATATTGGAAATGTAAAAGCTGTCAATTAGGTATGCACTATTTATTGTATGGGTAACTATTGAATACATTTCAAAAAGAATTTAAAATATTTTAAAAGTTGTACTTATTGACAATAATTTTCTGAAAAAATGACTTAATGGAGTATAAGTCTAGATGTAGTACTTAAAGTCAAATACGTTCTAAAACAAATACCCACTGCCAAATATCCATATATAATATACATACATAGCTCTACTTGCGCAAGCTAGTTTGAGGACAAATTCCCTAAGGAATAAGGGTGGCTGACTCTTAGGGCGTGTCACCTACAAAAAAAAACACCAAGAAATGGATTTGACATAATAAACCATATTATTAACAAGACTTAAGCATATTTTTATAAAAATCACTAATGCTATTAAGACATAATTTGGGAACTTAATGCATTGTGACCATCAGATTGATAGTAATGTGCATTCAATGCTGGGATAAACTAACAATCCAATGACCACAATTATTAAGTCCCCAAATTATTCTTCAATTTATTTCTCAATAGTATTACTCAATAAAAATATGAACAAGTTCATATTTATTTACTAAGGTAACAATGCCCCCAAACTTTTGATCTAGACATCCCCTATGAGTGAGATCACAACCCATCACAGCCCATTGAACCCACCACCACTATCATTGCCCACAGCCCAAAGCAATCTATAATCAAACACACATGCAGTAGTAACAGCACACTTGCAAAAAATAGGGCGCCAAATGCAGAAGCTTATATGACCAGGGTTGCAGAAGTAGAGTCCCAAATGCATTACTTCCCAAATGCAGTGGTACCATAAGTATGGTAGATGCAGAAGATTGAATTCAAGCAAGTCATTGTGCAAATTAACCATAAATCCTAACAACACAACAAAGACCCGAAACAACCTCCTCCTCCAACCTTAGAGCAACTTCAAAGGGAGTTGTCATTTTGGGGTGTCAAATCACTCATTTGAAACCTTGGACAGTGTTCTGACATCCCTGAATTATAAATTTATTCAATGGTAGGTGTCAAAATGGGATGCCATTTTCATATTTTTATTATAATCTATATAAATCGTTAAATCTATATTCATCTAACGGATCTATATTTATCAACTCATTTGCAACCTCTCTCTTCTCTCTCCAGAGTTGCCACAAATGTCACCCCAAGAGCCTTGATGCTATTTTCCAACCCTTGATATCACCTCCTTGGAGTGAAAATTTTTGAATTTGGGGTGGTATATAGAGTTGCCACCCTTGATGCAACTCTCCCTTAGAATTGCTCTTACACCACCTACTGCCACATCACCAACAATCAATCCACCAAAATTAAACCCAAAACCCATAAAAAATGCACAAATTTCCACCACCAATCCTAGATTAGTTCCACCACCAGTAATTCCACAAATTTCCACCACCACCACCACTACCTCCATCGCTAACACCCTTGCCAACACCAATTTTGCTACCTTAGACCCCTCAGAAATGGCGTGCTTAGCCTAGTCGTTACAAAGGTAATATGGATTAGGGAATAAATTAGAAAATGTAAGATGCTAATCAATGAGAGGTATAATTAATGATTTAAAGGTTATTTCTTTTTACCTCCATGTGGTTTTGACTAAAAATATTTTACCTACTTAACGTTTAAAAGTATGCACATTACCCCCGTGTACTTATGTACTATAGTGAAACGCTTATTTTTATCATCCTAAGTTAATGGTGAGTGTCCTGCACATTGCCCTTCGAGCTCGGTTATCCACAGGCTTGGCTTAAGTAAATTCAAGGATGTTCAAACTCGGCTCGGGCACGGTGACCGAGCTTAAATTTTTGTTCAAACTTGGCTCAAACAAAACTCGAGCCAACCTTGGACAATGACCTAGAGAGAGAAAGAGAGGGCCTAAGAAGGCAAAAAAGGGAAGGAGGGAGAAAGAGAGGGACTGAGAAGGAGAAGAAGGGTTCGCTCAGATCGAGATCGAGAGAGAGAGACAGTGATATTGTGGAGATGGATAGAGAGTGACAGAACTTAGAGGTGGGGTTATTGGCTCAGGGGTCTTAGCTACTATTGTAGCCTTGGGGTGAGAAAAGAAAAAAGTAGCCACGTGATTTAGTCTGGTAGTATGGCAGACTCTATGATGGATTGAGACTTGACATGCTGAGTTATATAAAAATTGTTTATCTATATGTTAGTTTTGCTAAAGTGAGGGATACGCGAGAGATATGTCTCCTATTTATACCTTTCAGAGGCTTTGTCTGATGCATTTTTTGTGCAGTTACTGTGAATAATGCTGAGGTGATTGCAGTTCGCTTGAATGTTAGATCGTCGCGATTTACTCACAGCATTCTTGTGGGAGCCAACTGTCATCCTTGTCATTCCCATGAGGTCATTGTTGCTACAGTCCCTGATCTTCGCACCTGTGGATGTTCATCATAAGCTACGTGGTTCGAGTTCAAATGACCGATCTAAATGTCTGAGCTCAACCTTAGCCAATTTTTAGGTATCATCACTGGTAATAAAGTTCCGTGTTTTGTTTGTCCATTAGCTAAGCAGCATAAACTACCTTTTCCTATTAGTGATCACACAGTTTCTACTGTATTTGAACTAGTGCATTGTGACCTTTGGGGCCCTTATCCAGTGACTGCTTATGATGGCTCAAGATACTTCTTGACCATTGTTGATGACTTCTCTAGGAGTACTTGGTTCTATTTGCTTAAAAACAATTTGAAAACAAATCATCCTTGGAATCTTTTTACCATCTTATTGTAACATAGTTTGGAAGTCATATGAAACACCTTGGAAGTGATAATGGAATTGAGTTCAAAATGACAGATTTTTTTAATGCTAAAAGCATTTTGCATCAAAGAAGTTGTGTGGATACTCCACAACAAAATGGTGTTGTGGAAAGAAAACATCTGCATCTCTTCAATTTGGCTAGAACTTTAAGATTTCAAGCTCATCTTCCCTTGGAATATTGGAATGATTGTATTCTTACTGCAATCTACCTCATTAACAGAACTCCAACCCTTGTACTAAACAATAAACTCCTTATGAACAGTTTTTTTGTGTTAAACATACTTATTCTCGTCTCAAAGTGTTTGGTTGTCTTTACTTTGCTTCTAGTTTATCTCAAGGTAGAAATAAGTTTGATCCTCGAGGCAAAAAGTGTTTTTTTCTTGGGTGTCCTTTTGGAGTCAAAGGGTATAAGCTTCTAGATATTGATACTGGAGATATATTTCTTTCTATGGATGTTATCTTTCATGAGTTTGTTTACCCTTTTATTACTAAGTCCTCCTTTTCTTCCTCTTTTCCTAGTGTAGACTCTTCTCCCTTAGTGTCTTCTTTGCCTCTTCCTGATAATGTTCGTTTTCCCTCATTTTCTTCAGCGACAACTTCTATTCCAATTTCTGCTTCTCTAGTACCAATTTTACCCTCTTCACCTACTGATGAATCTATTCCCTCTTCTTTGTATCTGATTCTTCTTCAGATTTTATTTCTCCTGTTTCTAATTCCTCTCGTTTACTTCCTAGTCTTGCTCTTCGCAGATCTACAAGGACAACAAAGGCACCTCAATACCTGCAATAATTTCATTGTTCTCAAGCCACCCTCATCAAGTTGGCAAACTTCTCAAGAGCCTTTATGGTCTTAAACAGGCCTCTAGGCAATGGTACTCTAAGTTGTCCACTGCGCTTCTTGAGTTTGGGTTTCATCAGTCCAAGGCTAATTATAGTCTTTTCATTAAGACTACTGCAGATTCCTTCACAACCCTTTTAGTCTATGTTGATGATATCATTGTAGCTAGGAATTGTATGTCCTCTATTTCTCCTCTCAAAGAATTCTTGGACAATAAGGTTAAGATTAAGGACCTTGGATCTTTGAGGTGTTTTCTGGGCATCGAGGTTGCAAGGTCTTCAAAGGGCATTCATCTTTGTCATTGCAAATATTCTCCGGATATCCTAGCTGATTCAGGTTTTCTTGGTTCCAAACCTCTCAAGGTTCCACTGGAACAGAATCTCAAGTTCCGCAAAGAGGATGGTCATTTGTTGGCTGATCCTCCTATCTATCGCAGACTCATTAGTAAACTCTTATATCTCACCATTTCTATTCAGACATGGAGTCAATTTATGGACAAACCCTCTACTGCTCATTTAGTAGCTGCACACAAAGTTATTCGTTATCTTAAGGCAACTCCTGGTCAAGGTGTTTTTTTGTCTTCTTCATCTCAGCTGCAACTCAGAGCATTTTGTGATTCAAGATTGGGCTTCATGTCCCGATTCTCGTAGATCTGCTATGATTACTGCGTCTTATGAGGCTCTTCTCTTGTTTCTTGGAAATCCAAGAAGCAATCTATTGTTTCTTGCTTTTCTGCTAAAGCAGAATACAGAGCCATGGTAGCTACTTGTTCTGAGCTTACTTGGTTAAGATATCTTCTTGCTGATTTTCAAGTTCCTCATCCACAGGCAACATTGCTTTTTTGTGACAATCAAGTTGTTCTTCACATAGCTGCTAATCCTATTTTTTCATGAATGTACTAAACACATTGAGTTGGATTGTCATCTTGTTCGTGACAAAATTCAAGAGGGCAGTATTCAAACTGCTCACGTTGTCACTCTATGTCAGTTGGCTGATATTTTTACTAATGCATTACCCTATTATATTCTTAATAATCATTATCCAAGATGGGCATAGTTAATCTCTATTCTCCATCTTGCCCGGGGTATTGCAGCGTACATTAGCTGTTATTACTGAGGATACAGCTGCAGAACTTACTGTGTCAGCCATATCCACAGCAGATGCAGATGCAGATGCAGCTATTAAAGATGTAGATGCAACGCAGAGTATGCAAGCCATGATCACACCAAATGCAGCTGCAGTTAATAAAGATGGAGAAGGATAGTCTTATTAGCTAATTTGTTTATTTGTTAACCAGTCAGTTAGTCAATTGCTTAGCTGACACATGCCATGTGAAGACATGGGAGTTAATTAGTTGGTTAGATGGTTAGATCGTTGTTAGGATTTGTATATAAAAGCTCATGTGCTGTATTTTATGGAACATACAGATTTATGGAAGTTTCTCTCCATGACTCAACTCCATGGTTTCTTAACTTCTTCACGAGTTCTCTATTTCTTTACACATTGTGCAGTTAGTCAAACATGGAATTAATTTTTCCNTATGGAAGTTTCTCTCCATGACTCAACTCCATGGTTTCTTAACTTCTTCACAAGTTCTCTATTTCTTTACACATTGTGCAGTTAGTCAAACATGGAATTAATTTTTCCAAACCCAATGTGCAAGAAAACCATTTTGCCCAAAAATACTGACTGAAGCCATGCCCCATCTTCGATAACTTCACGCCAAAGGTCTGTGGAAAGCGTTGCTAAGACACTCAACTCTACTGGATTCATGATTTTTTTTTTTTTTTTTTTGAAAGAGACTATTGTCTTATTTAGTTAAGTAATAGAATTAATCTAGGGTAGGAAACCCCATACCATCAGCACTAAGTTGTTCATTAATACATTCTAAAGGGAAGTACAAATAGGGAGGCCTTCTCTCGCTTGTACCTTCCACCTGGTTAGGATGTTCACACATTTGTTGGTCTCCCCTCATTTCCTGGGTGACCCTTGTGTCCTGAATGTGATCCAACAGCCATCTAAAGTCATTGAGCAAGGGGCTATAAAGGTGACATTGTGTATCTGATTTATGGAGAAGATCGAGCACTAACTGTGCTTCTACATTTATTTCCAGCCTTTGAATTCCTCGTTGCTTTGCCAGCTATATCCCAAAGTCCAGACCTCAAGGCCCATAAGTCCGCTGCAAGGCTGGTAGAAACCACAAGGTTCTCATAAAAGCCCACTATGATTTGGCCCAATACATTTCTGACAACTCTCCCTGCTCCCGCCATTTATTGGACCGATGATCGACATGATTGTTGAGTAAGAAAAGCGAAAACTTCATCCACACTTTTTATAAGTAGACCTATTTTTAATCGCATTCCTTTTATTATCTGAAAATTCATTGCACCCTTTCCAGATCACACTTTAAAATTATTCACACCCCCTGTCGTTAACAACTGTTTTTGACAATTAAATTATTCACACAAACTTGTTAAATTATACATGATTATAAATAGAATTAATTAACATATATTAAGCAAATTCTAATACGATACCATCAAATAATTATTCTTATATTACCTTTATTTTTTCAGCCTTACGTTTATGAAAATTATGAAAAAAATAAATTATCTACTCACGTAGTACTTTTGATGTATGACAACCAAAGCCAACTAGCTGACTAATTATTTATCACCTAATTTTCATAAATTATAATAATTTAACTTAAATTAGAGATCTTTTTTTTTAATCTGGATCAATTTTAATAAATTTCAAGTCTTTTTCTCTGTATTTTCAACTGATAGCATATTTAATTATATTTTGATATCCAATTCAATGTTTAGAATTAAAGTTTGAAGGCAAAACTAGCAGTTTTTCATCTCAAATACAAAAAAATAAATAAATAAATATATATTAAGGGTGCGTTTAGTAACATTTTCGTTTTCATATTTTCAAAAAAATAAAAAACAGAATCAATTTTTAGTTTTTTTTTTTTTGTTACAAGTTGAAACAGAAAAAATGTTTAGATGCATTTGCTATTTTAACAAATCTAAAAACTAAAACAACAAATATGTTTGGCAGCCATTTTATTTTATTTCATATATTTTTCATTTTTTTTATTCCTGATAAAACACATCCACATGATTATATACAAATATATTCATCAACTCATAAAATAGTGCACAATAATCAACCCAAAATATTAATACATCCAATGTATCAATACATCAAAATATTGTTAATATTCTACCAAATACACAAGTACACCATAATCACTTCACTAAAATCCCAATAAGTAATACAAATACCAAGCACAGTAACGCACAACACCATGAAATTGCATCTACAACAAGTAAGTATAAAAAGTGTGATTCAGTTCCTCCATCTCCTTCCTAAATTGGCTTGTACTTTCACAATTTTTCAGTCATCTTTGTGTGTATTGTACTCATCATCCCAAATAAAATAATTACTATGATCACATCATCTACAACGATAAAAAAGGCGACTGTTGTTTTTTTTTTGTGCTTGCGACGAAAACATTCATATTACCATATTCACATGAGCATAGAGGTCCAATTGGTGCCATGACAAAATTCTTGTTTCAACAACATTAATCACGACAAATTAGACATAATAGTTTATTCAACATAATATTGGAAGCGAAGAAAAAGTATAATATTATTCTAAGTAAGACATATATCAATGATGAGTTGATGCTCACAATTTATCCGCAATGTCATCTCTAACATGAGTCATGTTCACGCAATTGACTTGGCGTTATATCTATTTCAATTGGAGTTTGTGAACTAGATCCTGTACCACCTCTACCAGCATCAACATCTTCCCTTCGTTCAAAGTCAATAAACAACTGATCTTGCGGAAAATGACTTCTAATAAAGTTATGAATTGTACAAGAAGCAGTGGGCATATACTTTTGTGTGGTTATAGGATAAGATAACATTAGTTTGAGAATGGGAAAACGAGTCTTCAAAACTCCAAAGCAACGTTCAATTACATTTCGAAGTGATGAGTGACGGTAATTAAACAACTCGTCTTTGTTAGTTGGTTGTCATCCCCTACCTCTATAATCACGTAAGTGATATCTCTCACCGTGATAAGGGGATAAAAAATTTGGCATGTTTGTATAACCCAAACCAATGGGTCTTTAGTTTAATGGTACTCCTCACCTTATGAAGGGTTTATCTTCTTAAGGTTAAGGGTTCAAGTCCCCCTCTCCTCTCCCCCTCCCAAAAAAAAGAATATTATATGTTTGTATAACCCGAATCCACAACATAATATTTATTTGTAAAAAATATATATCATTGTAAGACAAAGTATTGGATTTGTACAAATTATTTATATGAAATCTGCGGATAAATTTACCTCATGGTAGCATTGGAAACTTGTTTGCTGGATTAGTGACACACTCTATAAAAACTCTTGAGTCATGCGTTGTACATTTCCACCCACTCAATTAATGGAGCTTTTCGTTGCAGATGGAGGTATTCGTCGAAACTGGAGGAGCAGCAGGGGCTTCGTTTGCCTTGGAGGAGCTGCAGGAGCTTCGTCTGGTGTGAGGCTTTTCGTCTACCTTGGTGGAGCTGCACAAGCTTTCATCTGGTGTGAGGCTCTTCGTTTGAAATGGTGAGTTTTTGGCAATTTAAGGCAAGTAAAATAACACATTATTTTGTTGCGGAGAGGGTTCGAAGTCCATACCTCATTAAAATGGGGTTGGACCAGCCGCCTGTTTTGTTTTTTTGATGTTTTCAAACTCATTATTTTGGATGTTTTCATTTTTTGTCTTTGTTTTCAAAACAGAGTAGTTAAAAATACAAAAACATTAACCAAATATTTTTTTTGTTTTTTTTTTTGGCCATAAAATGAAAACAAAACAAAAACATGAAAGTTACCAAACGTCACCTAATATTTTAGTATTTATTTTGTCGTAGCTATATTATTAAACATGCATAGCACAAGGACCTCACTTAATATTTCCGTCTAGGACCCCCATATATAATGAGCTGCCCCTTCTAACGGATATATGATTTTTATGTAGGAGAATATGAATGATAAACAAACTAGGATTGGGTCATTACATATGTTTGGTTAAGTAACTTAACTATGGTTAATTTAGGATTTTGAAATGTATTCACAAAAATATCGTATTTAATACATATAGTATAATTAAGGGTATTTTTGTAAAACAATATTTTTCATTAATGTCGTAAGCAGATAATCTCTGACAAAGGGTGTCAATGAAGTTTCAAGTAATACAAGGGGGTATGATTGAAGATAGGTCTAACTACAGGGGTGTGGATAAAGTTTTCCCCCAAAAAAAGTTATAGGAACTTATTTTTGTTCTATAGTAATCAATGTATCATGGATGTAGATAAAGAAAACACACCACAGACCCTTTTGGTATTTATTGGTAGAAATACATGTACTTTTACAATGGCACATCCATATGTACACAGTTTTTGTAACAATGGAAACATGACTTTTGTATGTTATTTACAAGGCAACAATTATACCAATTATATGTAGGGTGGGGTTATTTCCACCCCCACAAAACTCCATTTTCGCCCTCATTTAATTTTTTATTATCAAATTATTAAATTCACCTTTTCTACACCCACCTCATTAGTGATTAAATCTACCACATGCTACATACACCCCTTTTAATAAGTAAATTCACTTTATATATTTGTCATAATTAGGGTTTCATTCTCTATCACATCTCATGCACTCACAAAAATACTTTTTCAATATGAATTTTGTCAATCGGATATATGTTAGTATTACTTCTCAATTTAATTCTATATTTAATTTCATGTTTGTTATATGAATTTTTATTCTTTTTGATAAGTTTTGATATCTCTGTCAAGTTTGATAATTTTTTATTTAGAATTTATATGTGTGTGTATATATATATATGTTTTCATATTATTTGTTCTTTTTTATGTGTTTGTTATTTTTTTTTCTTGTTCGATTTTGTGTCTGTGCTTGATTTTTTTTTATATTCAGTTTTACGTCTTTTAGTTTTGCTTGTTCCTTTAATCTTTGTTTGGTTTTTTTTTCCCTTCTTGTTTCGGTTTGCTTATTTATTTTTGTTTTTTCTTTGTTTCATTCTTTTTTTTTTCTTGTTTCGGTTTGCTTCTTTCTTCTTTTTTTTTCTTATTTCGTTCTTTTTTTTTCTTGTTTCGGCATGATTTTTTTTATTTGTTTCGTTTTTGGTTTTTTTTTCTTGTTTCAGTTTTGCTTGGTTCTTTTTTTTTTCTCATTTTCGTAAATATATTTATATATTCAAATTAAAAAACTAAGCCAGAAAAAAAAAAAAAAAAAAAAAAAAAAAAAAAAGTAACTTGTCTTTACAATTTACTTTTCGTGATATAAGTGTGAAGGGATGCCTCTGTTACCGGAAGGGAACTTTTGTCAAACTAATTTACTCTTCTCTTTTTTTCTTTATTCTAAAGGAGTGTGAACTTGTGACCAAGACTCACCATGCCATTGAAGTCAATTAACTACAATTTGAGGTCAAATGTTCACTTTTTTAACTGGACAGAGGGATTTTTTTCCCGTTAAAAAAAAAAGGGTTTTTGTTTAATAATCTTGAACAAAGGTCCATTGTATATTACTGTGCATGCAAGATCCTGCACAATATAAAAAACGAGAACAGATCTCTCCCTTGGTGAACTTCGAGTGAGCCAGTTGAGTGACCAACCACGCTACTTGGAACAGCCTGCGAGGTCCGGTGGTAACCTGGAACGGCAACGGGAGACCCTGGGGGAGCGGAAGAACGATCCAGTAAGGCTAAAAGAGGTTCCTGGAACAAAGAAGAACAAGTTAGAAGGGCGCCGGAGTATTTTTCGGCGTATCCCCTCCGATGATCTAGTCAGTCTTTGAGAGAGAGAGAGAGAGAGAGGAGAAAACACTGAGTGTGTATTGTAGTAAAGAGTTTTTTGTTGCATACCCGTCTTGCCTTTTGCAAGGAGTATTTATACCTCAAAAGCTCATGATTGCTGTCAGTGTAGTCAGTAGGTGATCATTAGGTACAGGCAGTGTGCGCACTGATTCTGATGAGGAATGTCTTCTCTTCTTAACTGCTCGGNTCATGACTACTTTTTTGTTTGTGCAGATATCCCTGCTCGGGAAACAGCTCCTCCCCCTCGGTCGCTGGTGAACTTTGCCGACCTAGTCACGGTTTGGAGATTTACTGGTGACAACGGGTTCGGCCGGGCTGCCCATATCCTGCTGAATTACACCCCCAAGTATAAGAAATTTTCACAGC